TGTGTGTGTGTGTGTGTGTGTGTGTGTGTGTGTGTGTGTGTGTGTGTCTCACATGCTGGCAGGGACAGGACACCGGGCACTCTCTTAAACTGCTAATGAGAATGCAGAAAGGGCACAGCTCAGCCATTCAATCCTCTGCAAGATAACTGGGCAAGCTCTTAGAAACATACAGTTACTACACAACCCCATTTGTGAGAACAAATGTCCCAGCAAAGACTGTTTCATTAATACCCATAGCAGCTCTATTCTTACCTGCTACAAAATGGAGACAATCTGTATGGTCACCAAATGGTGAATGAATCATTCATTAAGTGGTCCTACAGTGAAAAGGACTGTACTCCTTTTCAGCAGTACCATGAAACAGACTACTGATATATGCAAGAACATGGCTATTTTCAAATTCTTTATGTTAATTAGAAGAAGCCAGACTAATTCTGAATGAGTTCACTCTGTGACATTTGAAAAAAGGCAAAAATAAAATGACAGAAAATAGATCAAGATGCCAGGGTACAGGAGAATGGCTAACTACAGAGGAACCCAAATCAATCACTGTTTTCAGTGGTCTCCTGGTATCCTACTTTACAAAATGTGCTCTCAGAAGTGTGAATTTTACAGCATGCATTTTCATTTCAAACACCACTTTAGAAACAAACTGGAAACCCAATAAGCTATGAAAAGATCTGTAGCGTGTCTGGCTGAAAGTCTAACGGCTACATACATGTCTACATCCATAAATGAATTCCTGCAGTGTCAAAGCGCTTATGAACCCAGTTTTATCCCACATGCTAGGAGAGAACTGAGTTTTAAAATTTTAATCAGGGCTCCACAGCACATCCTGCATTTAAAAATTGCTGTTAGTAAGAAAAGTCAATTGTTTTTACAGGAATATGTACAAAAAATGAAGATGAATTTCCCTTGATAGGAAGAATAAAAATCACAAAAATGTAAAAAGTACCTCAATTTCACTTAACAATTAGGGAACTATAAGTTTCATCTTCAGCTACTTCTCACCCAACCAGTAGACTTGGAATTTAAACTGGACCACCCTCAGGGCCAGATGATGGCATAGGACAATGGGAACTTTCATCTGGTTCTTCTGGTAGTGGGATTTGATAAAAAAAAAAAATACATATTTCAAAAAATAAATTGGTATCAGCCAGGAAAGTAAGAACACTCTCTCTGACCTTGAATCCCACTTCTTAATGTATTTCATGAAAAAGTTCTTCCACATTGTACCAGAAGATGTGCATGGAAAAGTTCTAAAAATGGGAGATGGGAAAGCTCCAAATGTACATAAAATGGATGGGTTATGGCAGAATTTTACAACATACTACTGCTGTGTCAGTAAAATGATAAACTATAAACATGGGTGCTTAACATGGGCAGATCTCAAAAGCATGCATGTGAACCATAATCCACAGAAGCACGTGTTAATAAAGCCATAAGATAAGCTTCAAAAGAGGGGTATAATCACCAATTCTGGGGGTGAGATCTGGAGAGAGATTGCCTAGCTTTCAGTGTTTGCTAGTTGTGTGACCTTTAACTCCTGTGCCACAATCCCGTGACTTGTACATTGAGGATATCAGCATAGCGACACAGCTCTGTGAGCAGAGACCCACAGCTGTCATCTTGGAGGAGTGAGCTCTGGGAACTCTGGGAAAGGAAGGCAAGCAGGATTCTGGAGCCAAAGAATAATTCGATTTAAAATACTAGTTGACATTTTTAATTTTTCATTTTTTTTTAGCTAAGTGATTGGTCTGAAGAAAATAGAATTACAATAACAAAATTAATAAAACCTGAATTTGTGTAAGATAAGCAGTGTGATTTCCTCTTCTACCAGATTCCCAGTTGGGAGTCATTCAAATGCTTCTCTTGACCTTCTTTCTCCTCACTATCTTTATTGGACCCTTCTTCAAAGAATAGCATGGATGAAAAGATCATGATACAGAATGCAGAGCCATTGACCCTCATATCTATGCTAGCAGTTTACTAAAATCATAATGAGATGGAATAAGGTTAAATGGCCATTGTATCAAAAATAATTATAGTAAAAGTGAGGATTTTCTTTCAGGCAATCATATTTCTCTCTCTGTCTGTCTATGTATCTATATATGTATGTATGATCTAACTATGTATGTGTCAGTCAATATATCTATGTGTCTATGTATCTATGTATCTATCTATCATCCAACTATCATGTATCCCTCTATGTATCTATCATCTGTCTATGCTTAGACTTAATTATCATACAAGGTTTACTTTGCTTGCTGATGAGCTAATGCTGAGTAGAAAAAGATAAAAATCTGTCATAACTGAATATGAGTCTTGCATGTAATTTTGTCTAGTATTTCATCTGAAGTCTACATACAAATGCTAAACTTAATGATTTATGACTTACCCTCTTATTTCTACTTGAGCGACAGCAGTGATGTTGATTTGCACACTCACAAAATTGCTGTCTGGATTGTCCTTGTTGGAGCTAAAACACAGGGATGACACGGTTTCAGCATACTTTCTCACAATCACAAGAAACATGATATCACAAGAGCAAGCCATATTTCCAGTTTTATCATTTGGAAAAACAATGGGATTTATTCTACAAAATCATAACCCTTTGTCCACAGAAATGCTAAGGGGTCTTTGGATACATAGACACCAATCAGCTTTCTCTGGGGAGATGCTTCATTTGGAAGCACAACAGCTTTCTCTGGGGAGATGCTTTCATTTGGAAGAAAGCTAACACTTTATGGTTAGAATAAACCAAAGGCACTGAATTGCATTTGTCTTCCAGCCTCCACCTCAGACAAATTCCTTTGCTTCTCTGCACATCATGCTCAGTGCCCTTCAGATACAAAATGACAGCACAGTCAACTCCAGATTTTCCACGCTAATAAAGTGGAGACCTGGCATGGATGGTCCAGGGCAGCACATAATCAAGAAAGCTTTTGGGTTTGGCCCTACAGTGTGTCCAGCCATTTGTTGTTTCTGTCAGCAATTCTATCTTCCTTATGGATAAGTGTTTTAGTATATATACGTTAATATTAATACATAAAATAAGTGTTTGCAATCATTGCACACTTGTGGGCTGTCTATGGCAAGGAAGAGGGACTGGATTAGAAGCCCGACTCTGGCATAGAGAGGCCCAGGAAAGCGAGGCATTGCCTAAGCAGGTGGTCCAGAGGAGGAGGATGCTTGTGAATGCATCATGAGTCCTAGCACAGAGGATGTGTTCCCTAATTCCTCTTTCAGTGTGGCAGATTTGTTTGCTGTTTTTTTTTTTTTTCCCCGTCAAGCAAATATAATTAATTATCAATTGTGAAACTGAACTTTTTAGAAAGTATGCATGTTAAGCAGTCAGGGCTATGAAGAACATTAAGTAGAACTCCCAAGAGGCTCCAGCAGGGCCTGGACGCAGCTGCCACCCACACTTCAGGCCTCTATCAGAGTCACTCCAGGTTGCAACTACCACGTCAGGTGGCAGCTGTAACTGGCTCTGTCAGTGAAGAAAACCTGCCGTGTGGTGCTTCTGAGTGCTGCTTGGATCCACTGGGCAAGTTCTCACTGTGAAGATGGCAACAGGGCTGTTTCACATTAGTGTTTTGATGCTTTCCCAGCGTGGCCTTGGGAAAGGATTGGATAAAATCCTACTTTGCAACCAGGAGAAGACAGGACTGTTTCCAAAGTGCCTTTGGACAGTCTTGGTCGCTTGTGTTTACTGATAAGGCACCTTAAACTGAAAACATTAGTAAAAGGTGGAAACTGTAGATGTCAGGCTCGTTTCCTGCAGGAGACTTACCCCTACTAGGCTTGTAATGGAATCTACAGTGACTTCCAAAACAAGTTTAAAGCCCAGTTTTCAACCATCTAATTTCGTTATCCATGATTTTTTCCAACACCTGGGGGAAAGTGCTTATTTTTGCCTTTAAAATGAAAGCTTTCAAAAATTTACCTACTGGAAGTTGTCTTTCAACCTGGGTTTAACATGAGGCTGTGCGAGAATATTTTGGTTTTTTAATTAAATTTTTTATTTTTTTATATTAGTTACAGTTTATTAACTTTGTATCCCAGCTGTAGCCCCCTCCCTCATTCCCTCCTTCATCTCCTCCCTGCCCCTCTCTAAGTCCACTGGTAGGGGAGTTCCTCCTCCCCTTCCATCTGACACTAGCTTATCAAGTATCTTCAAGACTGGCTGCAATATCCTCCTCTGTGGCCTAGCAAGGTTGCTCCTCCCTTGAGGGGTGGGAAAGGGAGGTCAAAGAGCCAGCTATTGAGTTCATGTCCGAAACAGTCCCTGTTCCTCTTATGAACCCACTTGGATACTGAGCTGCCATTTTGGTTTTGAATTATGTTTTTTTTTTTATTCATTTATATGTATGTATGTGAGTGTGCATGTACCACAGCATGTGGGTAGAAGTCAGGAACACTGTCAGAGTTGGTTCTCTCCTTTAAAGCCCTGTAAGTCCTGGGGGATTGAACTGGGTCATCAGGCTAGGCAACTAGAATCTTTACCCATTAAATCATCTCCTCTACCCATCTGTTTTGAAATTCAGTGAGAGAAATGGCTGCCGTCGTGCAGTCCTTGTTTGACGAGAATGCTCCTTCACAGGGTGTCAGTGGTAGGAGACTTGCATTGCATCCTGGCAGAGTTGACCAAGTCTCCTGGTACAGAAGAATCTGGCTGATATAACTCGATGCTTCCTGAACTTCTTTCCTGGAAGGAACCTTCCCTTGCTAATACCCTATCTACATGCAAACAAGTGATGCACCACCACTGCGGGTCCTCCTAGTTCCACAGAAGGAATTGAATTCCCTTCTGTGACTATACCCCTTGTCACATAGAAAGAATTAGTCTGCCTTTCACTTTCTTGGTTCAATGCCATTATCTTATTTTCCATTGTCTCCAGTTTCATAACAGTTCTTCTATAGTTTCTGGCCTTTGGAATGCCAGTAAAGATACTATAATGCCATGTAACCTTTACTAAGAAACAGCTTCAATGACGCTTACAAAGGCATATGTGTACGTGGAACTCTGTCCTGCTGCTCGGGTTGGAGAGGGGGTCCCACACACAGGCTTCGAGGGACCATTTAATGCAAGTATTTGGCAATAGAAAAGATTTTAAGTGTATTAGTATATTAAGTGAACTTATCTTCTGACTGTAATTTGTAGAAATGGGTATTCATTGTGGATTGTAGTAACAAATGCATGACAGAGATAAGCTGTAGAACACTTGACTTTCCCTTCCTTCCTTCCTTCCTTCCCTCCCTCCCTCCCTCCCTCCCTCCCTCCCTCCCTCCCTCCCTCCCTCCTTCCTTCCTTCCTTCCTTCCTTCCTTCCTTCCTTCCTTCCTTCCTTCCTTTCTTCCTTCCTTCCTTCCTTCCTT